ATACATGTATGACACTATTAGTATCTAATTACATTGTTTATAAATATATGTACACTGAAAAAAATTTGTTGTAAAATTACATAGAAAATAATGGGTTATTTTATACCCATTATTTTCCTTGTAAAATTGCATCAAGTTTGTAATTTAAAATTATTACAATATTGTTGTAAAATTCAAAATTGTAAAATTACAATAATGTTGTAATGAATATTTTTTTACAATTTTGTTGTAAAATTAAAAATTGTAATATTACAATAAACTAGTACTTTTGAAAAATTTACAAATTTGATGTAAATCACAAATTGTAAAATTACAAATATCGAATTAAGGGTTTTTTCGCCTGTTGTATGATTAAAAATAACTCTTCTTAATTTTGGTCTGCTTTTAATTTTTTATTATTTTTATTTTTGTATGTATCTACCACAATAATAAAAATTAAGCACAGACCAAAATTAACACAATTTCAAAGAAAATATGACATAATTTTTATATACCCAACTAATTAGCCTATTGTTTTATTTTTTTTCACAAATAGGCAAAAAACCCTTAATTTGATCTTTGGGTATATACATCTCAAAAATAAAAAAATATAATTCCGTGCATATTCAAAAAAATATATATTTTGTTTTATTTTAAATATAAACGAGATTAGATTGTATTAAGTTATATTTTTACCTAAAAATAATGAGAAGAAAAAACCCTCACTCTTACCAATAACATTTAAATAATGCAAAATATGTTTTGCAAATTAAATTAGTTGTATTTGCTATTTAAATAAAATAAATTAAAAACTATTATAAGAGTTTATAATTCTAATAAATAATAAAACAAAAAAATAAAACAAAACATATAGCTATATTAATACAAATAGAAAGTAATAATAAATAATATTGTCTTGAGAAAAAACGTTCAAAACGTGTTTTTGTTTAGTTTTTGTGATACTGAAATTATAATTTAAAAATATAAATATAAATTGAAGTTTTTGTTATATACATTTTCTTATTAGACCAAGAAACAAGAATACTTTTTCTTGTGTTCTTTATTACTTTTATATTAAAATACATTATAAAAATACATACTTCTAAAGTTAAAATAAAATAATTATTTAAATAAAATGGCAACGTATTAAAAAATGAGAGTTCAACAAAAAAAAAACTCGTTAAAACAAATTTGTTTAACTTAAACATTATAATTTACTATTTAATAAATTTACCATTTAAAATTTTTTTAATTTATTAATTTAAGTTATTACTTTTTTATGTTTTATTTTTTTTCATTTTCCACTTGTCAGGATGTAGTTTTAAGTAATATCTTTGAATAAATTTCAAAACACAAGAACCTTGTAAGTTCTTTAGCTGGAACAGAAAAATATGTAAAGATGTTTTATAAAAAAATGTAAATATATTTACACTTACCTATCTTTAGAGTACAAGGAGTCTGTGACTTTAAACAGTCTAACTCATCAGATTCTTCGTCTGGTATACCATAGTATAGTATATAGTATAGTGTATATAGGTGCTCACCTATCTAAATAAATATTCTATTTTAGATATATCTAAAATAGAATATTTATTTAGATAGGTGAGCACCTATATACACTATACTATATACGATACATATACTACTAAGTTTTTTTATTTAATTTAAAAATTTAAACTTACCTCCCTTTATTTAAAAAAATATCGCTAAAAAGCATTTAACGCTTTGAGAATATTCAACATCACTGTAATGTGATTGATTAATGTGTACATATATTTTTTTAAAGTTAAAAATTTCCTTAAACAATCTTTTCTCATGCGTTTAAAAAGCGATTTATAATTAAATAAATGATATTTTAAATGAATCTTATATCGAATAATTGCTTTAAATGTTAACTGACAAATATATTACATTTATATCATACTTACCACTATAAAAAGGAACAAAACGGCACACGCTTTAACAAGGTACACGTTCTAACCAAAAAGACATTGATTCGATGCATGCAAAGTTGTCGGGAGCATCACGTGATATATTTATCTTATTTGATTGGTCGAAGTTTACAATTAGTTTGTAAAATTACAAAAATATTGTATGTTTCGGTCACGTGAGTATTTAGCTTTATTTTATTGGTTATTTTTTTTACAATAATATGGTAAAAATGTTAAGTTTTTGTAAAAATAAGAGACATTCCTTGTAATTTTAATTTTACATGCATTTCATGATAAAAATACCTTGAAAAACTAGATAATTTTACAATAAAATTACATACATTTTTTTCAGTGTATTTATGAAATGTGTAAATCTTAAAAGCGCCAAGCACTACTAAGAAAGCCCCACCTTGCGCCAAATGTCAATGCTAAATAACTGAACAGCTGATAAATATTGAGTACCAATTAAAATTTTTAGTGAAAATTCGTAAATCTATCCAACCCCAGTAGCACAAAATATTGGTCCTATATGGGGCGCATATATGCCCAATATTTTATCTGGGACCAATATTGGATTTATTTAGCCGATGTTGGCCCTATATTGGCATAAAATGGATATTTAATATATCTTGCCAATGTTTATCCAATGTTGGTCCTATATTGGCAAATCATTTTACGCCAATATATCATTAAACATATTTATCCAAGATCGGTCCAATATTGGCATATCAGTTTAAGCCAATATATCATTAAAAATATTTATCCAAGGTTGGTCCTATATTGGCATATCATTTTACGCCAATATATCATTAAAAATATTTATTCAAGGTTGGCCCTATATTGGCATATCATTTTACGCCAATATATCATTAAAAATATTTATCCAAGATCGGTCCAATATTGGCATATCAGTTTAAGCCAATATATCATTAAAAATATTTATCCAAGGTTGGTCCTATATTGGCATATCATTTTACGCCAATATATCATTAAAAATATTTATTCAAGGTTGGCCCTATATTGGCGTAACATGATTATCCAGTATATCATAGTCGATGTGTGTGCTATGTTGGCCCCATATTGTTTCAAATGTTTCAAAATTCGCCAATATGTAGGCAACCCATGCATACCTCTCGCCTCTGTAGCACAATAGATACTCCTATAAAGGTGGAATGCCTTAAGCTGTTAAGTTAGAATTTCTTACTAAGGCAAAATTACTGACCATACCGCTTCTGCTTGTAAGTTTTGAAGGGACACAGCTGGTCCTGTGGCCCACTCTGCCAAAAGTAAGCAGTGGGTCCCACTACTTACTTTTAGCAAAAGCTTTTTATAAAATTTAAAATTTAAGGTTAAACAAATATTGGGCCAATGCGGATTTTCAATATGGGTTATATAATGTAAAACAACTTCGGGCCAATATGGATTTCCAATATCGGTTACACAGCTGGTCCTGTGGCCCACTCTGCCAAAAGTAAGCAGTGGGTCCCACTACTTACTTTTAGCAAAAGCTTTTTATAAAATTTAAAATTTAAGGTTAAACAAATATTGGGCCAATGCGGATTTTCAATATGGGTTATATAATGTCAAACAACTTCGGGCCAATGTTGGGTTTCAATATTGGACCAAGCTAGAAAAAATCTGACGAAAGATATGTTGGCCCAATATATAAAACGAATATTGGGCCAATATCTTTGTGCTACTGGGGTTAAGTTTCTAAGTCGCCGCGGTGCCTGCCACCTCTCATCCCTGGTACGGATAAATGTCCGGATTTTACCCTTCACCCACGGATTTCTACGGATATTTGACTAGAGAACTCAGGATTTTTCGAACGAAAAACCTGGACAACCGGTTTTGAAACTAAAGATGAATTTGTCTTAAGGGGTTATTATTGTAATTTTGTTGATTTTTTAAGTACGTATTAATAATTTTATTTAAGGGTATTTCCATTGTAACGGGTGCGACACTGACACTGCGTTTTTTCGTGATAATAAAGTGTTTGTACAGGTATATTAAGATACGTTAAAATACAAAAAAAATACAAAAAATTAGGCTCAAACAAAATGTCAATAAAAACTTAGACAACATTTTATAACGTCGGGCGCGACATTAGAAAACCTGCAAATGCGACCAAGTTGGCTTCCAAAGTTGATCCTGTAAACTTTTGGATGAAAGCATATTGTAATTATTTTTTGTGTAAACCTACCCTCAAATAAGCACGTATTTTAAATGCAAAAATATTTTATACTTTATTTTCTAAAATGTTCTCAAAATGTAAAGGGTCCGACATTTGAAGTTTTTAACGAGTAGGTATTAAAACTTTTCTGTGTTTATTCTTAGCTTCTTATCATTAGAATATACGAATATTTTAAGATTAAAAATTACGTCGCAATTAAACTATTTGACTTCAGATATAGTTTTTGGTTTGTTAAATAACAAATACCCTTAAACAAACTATAATATATTGAACATATTTTAGGTCTTTGCAACAAAATTTCATGTGAAAATTTAAAAAATTGTGGAAACTACAGCTGTATCTAGATCTAGATCTATCCCCGAAACACTTTTTTTAATGGTTTGCGGTAAGCAAAATAAATCTAAAACGTTGACTGAATTAAAAAACATTTTAACATTCTTGTAACATACAGTATTATACTGCAGTATAATCATGATTATTTACTACCTATATAATATAGGTACCTATATAATATAGGTAGTAAATAAATCTACATAATATGTTTGATTCCATACTGCAAATTTATGCACTTTTTAATATAAGGGTAGGTGTAAAAATTCATTCTATAAAATATATTTACATAAATATACATATCACCACTTTATTTAATAAACTGTTAAAGAATATACTATACTATAACAATTTTTTCTTTGTAGGTATTTAAAGGTTATTGATAACGCTCTTTTAACTATTCATAATAGATATATAGGAAATTAAAACATAAAAATTACCCATTGTGTTTATAAACTTGTTTTTTTGTTTTTAGGTTATCTACCTGATAAGCTTATACTAAAATTAGTATATATAAGGATTGAATATTTAGTCAAATCAACAATAAGTTATTAAGTTAATTAATTATGGTATTAGTACGAGCTTTATTTTTGGCCGGCGCGTTTGCGTTTATTACCGTAAGTACCGTAAATTTACATGTACATGTACATGTGTAAAAATTATTAACATATTTTTACAGGCAAAGGAAGTTAAAGTGACAATATTTTACGAATCGTTATGCCCATACAGCATTGAGTATTTGGTCAAACAAGCCATTCCAGGTTATAAAACACTTAGCAATAATATCAAATTGGATCTAGTTCCATATGGAAACGCTAAGGTGAGTTTTAAAAAAAGATATTTCTACAATTAATTCTTTAAAAAAATAACTACTTTCGGGACTTTCTGATATGATTGAGACACTTTATTTTTGTATATCTCCCAGGCAATACAATTCATTATAATTAGAACCAATAAAATGCCAGTATTCCATGGTTACGCATTTTATCACAGCGACAATATAATTCATTAATATTAGAACCAATAAAATGCCAGTATTCCATAGTGACGTATTTTATCACAGCGGCAATATTTTTTATCATCTTGTTTACACGTTACTATGAATTTTGACGTTTTTTTGATTTGACATTGGTTGTCATTTAAATTCTGTTTTTGATATATATCAATAAAATAATGAATTATAAACTCTAAAAGATCGATGGGTTGGTGTAAACGATAATGAAATTAAGGTAAGTTTGAATAAATAAGGTTTATTAAAGTCTTTTTATATTTTAAAGCACATTTTAATTTCAAATGTCAAACTAAAAATTCGTTAAATCCTAAAATTCATTATATTTTCTCACTAAATATAACTCGTGGTATGATTAATTATCGATGATATTTACTCATTGAAACCGAAGCAGCACATTTCACTCGTCCTGCGGACTCGTGAAATCTGCAGCTCGGTTTCAATTCGAAAATATCATCGATGATAATCATACCACTTGTTATATTATGGGTGACAATATTTTGTATCACCTTGTTTACACGTTGCTAAGGATTTTGACACTTTTCTTTTGACATTTGTTGACATTTAAATACTGTGTTTGTTAAATGATTAAAATAATGAATTATAAACTCTAAAAGATCGATGGGTTGGTGTAAACGATAAGGTTTATTAAAGTGTTTTTATATTTTAAAGCACATTTTAATTTCAAATGTCAAATGACAATTTGTTAAATCCCAAAATTCATTATATTTTCTCACTAAATATAACTCGTGTTATGATTAATTATCGATGATATTTACTCATTGAAACCGAAGCAGCACATTTCACTCATCCTGCGGACTCGGGAAATCTGCAGCTCGGTTTCAATTCGAAAATATCATTGATGATAATCATACCACTTGTTATATTATGGGTGACAATATCTTAAATTTTTTCCTACTTGAAAATCAATACTAAATTTTATTAAATTTTAATTTTGCAATATTTTTGTCTATTTCGATGCTACTAAGAGTTCTTAGACGCATCGTTTTTAGTGCTACTAGTAGCTACTAAGAGCTTCTTAGAAGAATCGAAATGAGGGATTTTTTATTTCCGAATGTTGGCAACCCTTTTAATTTTTATGTCAACCATCTGGTTTTGTTTATCAGAATTATATTATAAAATTTTAATAAAATCATTATTTAGAAGTAAATATAAGCTCTAAGAAGCATCGAAATAGACAATAAAAAATTTGACGTTTAATTTTGACTGACATTAACAGCAAATTCTTATTTAAAAGGATCCCAGAATCCAAAAATTATGAAAGCAGTTTTTGAGATATGGTCAATTCCATATTACATGGAAAATTGACTATTTCTCAAAAACTGTTCTACTTTTTTAACTTTTGACGACATTTTCGGATTCAGGGGACAATTTTACATGGAAATTGACTGCAAAATGTTCGGGATTCAAATTGCTATTGACAAGAATTATTGGTAGCTGATTTTTCACTATAACAATTTTTGACTTATTTATTTTTAAATAGCACTCAATAAACTTTTGTAAATAATATTTAATGTGCAGAATATATATATATATATATATATATATATATATATAATATAATATAATATAATATAATATAGGTGATATAATAATCCACACAACAAGATTTGTGGGTGATATTATATTATAATACAGTTACATTATATAGTTATACAGCTATTCCAAAATTTAGTGCATTTATTTCGACCATAATTTATTAACAAAATTAAATAAATCTTTAAAAAAACAAGTAGTTTAATTCATGTTACAAAGTTGGCACAATTGAAGTGAAGCGAAATGTCAAAATTAAATATTTAAATGTTGGTATTTCATGGTTTACCAATGGTGTAATTAAAAAAGCAGCCACTAATACCTATAGTAACTAGTGATTTTTGGCATATTCATTTTTAGATAGTGGATAACTGTTCTGCGGATCAATGGTTACAGTTTTATTTTCTCTGTGTAGTGTTGAAATATAGTTTTTTTCGAACAATAATCATTTTTGGTATTTAAGCCAAACATACATATGACATTGTAAGGTATTTCTTTACTTATAACTTAATTTTAGACTGTAAACAAATCTGGAACCTTGGAATTCATTTGTCAGCATGGTGAGGGTGAATGCAAAGGAAACCGCTACCATGGATGCGTTTTGGACTTGAATCCAATTGACAAAGCTTCATCTTATATTGCTTGTGATTTAGCTGCTGATGATCCGTCAGATGATAAGGCATTAAAACAAGTAAGTGATATTTCCTTCAGAAAATTTAACAATATAAACCTAAAATTTGCTTATTTTTAGTGTGCAAATGAGACAGACATATCCTGGACTGACCTTAAAAAATGCGTGGACAGCGGAAAAGCCGATGAAATAATGGCTAAATATGGCGAAAGAACAAACTCGGCCAGACCACCAATTCCAGGTGTGCCAACCACTTTTTTCAACGACGTTTATGATGAAGAATTAAGTGACGATGCATATACTTCTTTTGTAACTGTTGTTTGTAGTTTTCTTGACAACGAGCCTGCAGCATGTAATAGTTTTTAGGTTGTGAATAAATATTTGTTTACCTATATAAACATAGATCTTTTTTTCTTAGACCACGGGTCAAATAGACATGCTCAAAAGCAGGGGCGTAGAAAGGGGGTGTAGGGGGGTATTTTCCGAGGTTTTGAATATATTTTCAATAAATGGGAAAAAAAGTTGGGTGATTTAAAAAAAATCTGTATTTTTCAAAAATTATTTGGTGAAAGATTATTCACTATAGTTATAAAAATCAGATTTGTTACCATGTTAACATTGTATAAGACCAGTGTAATTATTTTAACAAAGGAAAATATTTTACAGAAATTTATATCTAACATTCACTCAATACAACCTAAAATTAAAGTGCAGAGTACTATATACATATAGTGTTTCAATAAAAACTCCCAGGCCAATTATTTCGAAAACTAAAAGTGACTTTTAAATTCTGTAAACGCCAGTTTTTAGCCTCTATGATTGGCTTCACAACTGTGTAAACAATTTGTTTAAATAATACAAGATGTAGGTGGCGCCACTGTGCAAAGAATTTTTCGATGACAGAAACTTTTAAATTAATTTTTGATTAAATTATGTCCCATCCAAATTTTTGATAAATCCAGATATTTGTGGTTAAGTTTTTTTTTTAATAATTTTAACGAATATTTTAATTATAAATATTTTTAATATGCTTTAGCAGATGTTTATTTAATTCTGGTAATGATAATTTTAGTGATAAAACGCTCGTGTAGCGCTAACTAGATTAAAATTATTACGTCCAATGACGTCTCAGGGGGCCCCTTAACAAATAATATTGACAAAAAATAATACGCCACTGAGTTTCCAGCAATTTTTATATTTTTTTCGGATTTAGCAACTAAAAATATCTTTTTTTTGTCTGTTGAATTGTTTTCATATCTTGCTTCGTTTTCGAGAAATAAAAATAAAACCATTTGGAAAATTATTAATGAAAATTCAAACAATACCATTAACTAACTAATAAGGTCGAATGAGGTGTTCAAAATTATTGCCTTTTCTATACACACATATCAAATCGATATTATAATTCGGTTCTGCAAACTCTCATTAGTGTATTTTAATTAATAGCGGCTATAGTAACATAGATTTTGTTGTACAGGTCAACCATGTCTTCTATTGGTTCCTTGTATACTTCATTTTGTAAGCCGCCCCATTTCCCCATTTGTGCTGATCACTTTTCCTAGTAGAGGATCCCAAGTAAGGTCGACCTTCACCCATCTGCTTACCAGATGAAAATTATATTTTATCAAATAAAATATGTTTCTGAACATAAACCAATAGGGTTGCCATAAAAAATATGATCAAGGCTAGCTATAATAAATAAAAAATTTAAAAAAAAATAATTAATTTTTTAAATTTCACCGACTTGCTTGCCAAATGAACGAAATTCCAATGGAAAGCATACAACATACAGAATATGTAACAGCTAGGTTGCCTACCTTTTTCTGGTCCCTATTACTTGGTTGCTTTGTACAGGGTGATCCCCTATAATGTCGCCCCCCTTTAACTTTTTTATTTTAAGTGTCCCAAAAAATTTAAAAGTTTGGTTATGTAGGTACTAAAAAATACTTTTTTTCTACGTATAAAGAAAATTGGAAAATTGATCAGTATACAGGGAAAAACAAAAAGTTTATTTTTTTTCAATGGATCACCGTATATATGAATTTATTTTTCGATTCCTTGTAAAATTCTGAGCATAATTTATATAACAAACCATATACCTAAATTCAACCGTTTCTGAAATATTCGCATTCGAAATGTCATCATTAAATGTTTTTTTAAACTGTTAGAAATCAAGAAGCCTCAGTATACCAAAATTTTTATTGAAAATAAATTACTATAGTGACATTATGTCAATAAGTGTTGTTAAATAAGTAAAAATGACGTACTCAGACAGAGAAAAACAAACTATTTCAACTTATTATCTTAAAAATAATTTAAATATTTCAGAAACGGTTGAATTTAGGTATATGGTATGATATACGAAATATGCTTAGAATTTTACAAGGAATCGAAAAATAAATTCATATATAGGGTGATCCATTGAAAAAAATAAACTTTTTGTTTTCCCTGTATACTGATCAATTTTCCAATTTTCTTTATACGTAGAAAAAAAGTATTTTTTAGTTCCTACATAACCACACTTTTAAATTTTTTGGGACACTTAAAATAAAAAAGTTAAAGGGGGGCGACATTATAGGGGATCACCCTGTACAAAGCAACCAGGTAATAGGGACCAGAAAAAGGTAGGCAACCTAGCTGTTACATATTCTGTATGTTGTATGCTTTCCATTGGAATTTCGTTCATTTGGCAAGCAAGTCGGTGAAATTTAAAAAATTAATTATTTTTTTTAAATTTTTTATTTATTATAGCTAGCCTTGATCATATTTTTTATGGCAACCCTATTTTTTTATGTTCAGAAACATATTTTATTTGATAAAATATAATTTTCATCTGGTAAGCAGATGGGTGAAAGTCGACCTTACTTGGGATCTTAGACTATCCTGGAAACGTTATTTAGATAATTCATAACAATATTGCTATTGTGTGCTGGGGCACCGTCTTGATAAAACCACATAGTATTTACGTCAATTCCCAAATTTTGTAACAGCAAAGGGAGATCGTTTTGCAGAAATTGTAACTAACGAACTGAAGTTAAATAAATGTTCATGGTACAAATAGGGCCCGACTATGTTTACAATACCGCAAAATTTAGAAATTTAGTCTGTCGTATCCAGTTAGGATTTTCCTGGAACCAGTAAGTAGCGACAATTTTGTTTATTAATTACTCCATTATTGCAATCATGTGAAATCGGGATTCGTCACTCCACATAATTTGGTTTAATAAATTTGGATTTTCTTCCAAAAGAATATGAAAATGTGTCAAACAGTTTATAAGGAGATAACCAGCGCAGATTATAATCTGCGCTGGTTATCTCCTTATTGTATGATGCACTAGATGAACTTTGTATGGAAAAAACATTTTTTTTAGGAACTTACTGAAATATTGGTTTCATCTTTTAATATTGAAATATTAGTTTCATCTTTTAATTTTCGTAATGACTTTTGTGGGTTATTTTTTACTGATTGGAGGACTAAAGCTACATTTTCGTCAGTCTTCCTTCTTGGAACCGTTTCCGTTTTAAAGCTACCATATGTAGCTAAGTTGGTACACAAAGCTACAAAAGATTTGCGATCAGTCTCGATAGCAGCGCACAGCTTCTGAAGCATTTATATGTTCTCCATAAACTAAAACCATGCGTGTATGTTCAATTTGTCTTGATTTGTATGGTGAACCATTTTTATTTTAGAAATGTAGAAATTGCAAATTCTTACACTGACACTAAGTGAAGTGAAGAAAAATTTACTTGATGTTTCTAACATTCATTTGTTTTTATTTAATCCAAAGAAATGCAGTGAAATGGTTTTATTATTATTTCTCGAAAACGAAGCAAGATATGAAAACAATTCAACAGAAAAAAAGGATATTTTTAGTTGCATAATCCGAAAAAAATATAAAAATTACCAGACACTCAGTGGCGTATTATTTTTTGCCAATATTATTTGTTAAGGGGTCCCCTGAGACGTCACTGGACGTAATAATTTTAATCTAAATCTGCTAAAGTATATTAAAAATATTTATAATTAAAATACTCGTTAAAATTATTTAAAAAAAACTTAACCCCAAATATCTCCGTTCATGTCGGATTTATCAAAAATTTGTATGGGACATAATTTCATCAAAATTAATTAAGTACCTGCCATCGAAAATTTTTTTGCACAGTGGCGCCACCTACATCTTGTATTATTCAAACACATTTTTTACACAGTTGTGAAGCCAATCATATATGACTGACGTTTACAGAATTTAAATGTCACAAGAGTACAAAAAAATAAAATAAGTAAAAATACGTAAAAATAGGTAACAAATAGGTGAAAATAAACTGACAAATTAAAAAATATGTAACAAAAGTATAAAAAGGTACTTTAAAGCAAAAACCTCCAAAAAAGGTAAAAAAGGTGAAAACAAGTTAAAAAATAGGTAACAAAAGTATAAAAAAAGGTAGTTTAAAGCAAAAATCTCCAAAAAAGGTAAAAAAGGTGAAAACAAGTTAGGTTCATATAAAAGAAAATCTTTTAAAACACATTTTGGCATTATTGGTTTTCAAATAGTTACATCGGCTGAAAAAAGGTAAAATAACTAAAATCCCATCCCTAGTGATTACATTTGGTCCCTCATACGAGAAACGGAATACGAAAGCAACAAAAAGCAAAGGAGCTAGAATTTTTTAAACCTATGCTTATTACAACAAAATAAAACTTTCAATTTTCAATATTTATTGTTTAATATTCAATATATAATTTAATTTTAATATTTAATGTTTAAATTAAAAATCAATGTTCAATATTAAATTTTATATAATTCAATAAAATGAAGAAAAAACGTAAAAATTCTCGAAAAACTGAATTTTGGTCTTCCACTGGAAAATTCATAACTTCACCATTTATCCATGGATTTTTATAAACAGTAGCTTATTTTTTCCTTTAAGTATAATCTATACCTACGTAAAATAAATCAAACTGGAATTATCTTTTCGATTTCTATCTTTCCCAGAAAGATATGTAAATTTTCGACCTCGATTTTTGTACAAACTTTCAACTTCATAAAATAGCCAGTATCGAACTACTGAGCCGATACCAAAACTATGCAAGAGAAAGTTGTAGGGGGCTCAATTACCTTTGATTTAAATGTTTGGTCAAATTGATCAATTAGAACTCTAAAACGTCAAAACACCTCAGAAAATTAAAAAAAAAAACAATTGAAAATTCATATCTCGAAAACGCTTCCATGAAATTTTCACGTTTAGTCAGCGAAAGTACACAAGAAAATCAAAATGGCTGTAAACTAGTGTTATGGGACACCCTGTATATACGAGCCCAGAACAGAGCTGCAAGCTCTCAGAAAACTTAAATCGTTTTTTTTATTTAAATCGTTTTAATGACTTAAGTCATTTGATT